TATATGTTTCAATATGTTGATAGATTTATACATAAAAATATTAACCCTGTACATATAGAGTAGAATGCGCAATTGCGGTTTCTATTTTATTATCCTTATTATAATGTCTCTCTTTTTCTTTCTCTTTCTCTTTCTCTTTCTTTCTGAACGATTAGAAATTATTATTACTATTATTAATAATACCATGATATTTTATTGTATGGAATCATAGTATAGATAAATCATAGAAGTATGTGGTAGATTTCGACATTAATGTATGTGGGGTGTCTCAAGAAATGCCTCTCAGTTACGAATATTTCAAATCAAAGAAGAAAGATTATTTAACATATGTAAGACTCCACTTTAAAACATTGGAAATAAGGCAGGACAAAAAGTGATCTATTTTAGAAACGTTACCATTAAATAAATAAATATTAACGAAATAAATAAAAGCTAAAATTTAGTTGCACGCAATTTTCTAACGATTAAAGTTTTCGACTTTTGTAATTGACTTTATTTTGATCTTGTTAATAATGAACGTCTTATCGGCTGCTCGCAATTAAAAGGCATGAATTAAAAGGCATTTGTCATTAGCGAATCTTATCGAATACAATGCAAAACAAATCATATTCCTTTTAGTGTTAATAAGTACCTTTGTCACTACTTTAAAGACAACTTAATTTTAATCAGGAATAAAAATTATTTTAATAAGGTGAAAAATGGAAATTTGTAATTAAATCCCTAAAACTATAATAAATTGTTGACAGAAATCATTGCTTGTAATTTTTAATTTGAAAGCATTCGATTGAATTATTGAATTTGATAATTTAGTAATGACGGGAAGAATTAATTAGAACAAATAGAATAATAACAGAGAAGGAGAAATTTTCCTGGAGTTGCGGTATTTCAAGCGGCACCCTGCACATAAGTCTCGCGTTTTATTATCATATACGGTGTACGGTAATATTAGACTATCAGAAGCGATATTAATTATGGTGTGTGATATAATAACTAATTTACAATTAATTGAATTGGTGTGTCAATTTCTGCGCTCTAATTTACGTCTTTTCCGAGTACGTCCAAGTTAAGACTTATCTATTTTTTCATTGCAGCCATATTGAATTATTATCCACACAATACAGTTTTGCAAAGAACATCTTAAAAAAAGTCCAGAGAACGTGCTACGACTTAAATATTCTTAGGACTTTGCTCAAAAAATTGTGTTGTGTAATATTAAAAATAAAAAAGTTTTTTTAAGTAAATTTTTTCACAATACGTTAAAAGAGATTGATTTTTTTTATATGTAATTAGTCGTGTTCAAGTATAAATTAGTGAAGTATATCAAGAAGTTTCTTTCTTTTTATGCTGCAGATCAGTATGATTATATAATTGTTCTATACATAAATTTTTTTGTCGAAAAGATTCATATATACAATAGTTATTCAAGATTGATATTTATTTAGTAAATTAATTCACAAATTGAAAAGTAAGCTTTTAATTCATTAATTAATGATAATATTTATTTTTAATTATTGATATAAAAATGATTATAAAAATTAATTAATACATCAGTGATCCACGCTTAATTTTCCGTCCAAATCATTAGATATTTTGGCTAAAAAGAAAATTATAAAATAATTTCTGATATTATAGGCAGATACATAATTATAATATAGTATTGGTACTTTAGATCTTTCTAATTAATAATTTATAATAATTTTTTGTACTTTTTAATCATTATAAAATATATTTTAGTTAACTAATATAATAACACAAACAGAAATACTAGGATCCACCAATGAGTCACGCGACATAATCAAATCATTTAAAAAAATTGGCGTTGTACAGAATATATTACTAACATATCAAGAAGATGTCGGAACAAATGAACATATCGACAACTTAATATATTTTATTAATCTACATTATCTACAATATCGGATATGTGTAATGCGAAAAAATTAATTTTAGCGACGTATATGCAAGAAAAATATGCAAAAAAAAATTTCACATACCATAATTCGGCTGTAATGGAAAAATAGGAATTATTTATTTTAATATATTCACAATGCATTAATAATGTGAATTGAAGATTACTGAAATATGAAAAGCGACAGACAGCAGAACTAATGCGATTATATACATACCTCGATCGTAATTAAATGAGTAGAATGAATATGTGCCTTGAAGTAAAACTAAAAATATAGTTGTTTTCTTTTTCTTCTACCTAATTATTTATCCCCACGATATATAAGGACTCACTGCAACGTGTGGTTATCTCCATAATTTGTATGCATATAATTTAATATGTAACTCTCTACGAGACGTAAGAAATAAATATCGAGGAACATATTTTATTTCATATTCTTCTTATTTTCCTCGTCTTAAAAAAATACACGTAAAAAATATAATTATTGAAATATTTCCTAGGCAAAATATTTCAGTAAATCTTGCATTATATTCAGACATCTTTTAGATAATTTCTAGATATCTTCTAAAGACATCTTTAAAAAAATATATCGTTTAGATATCTATAAAACCTCGATGTTTTCTGGATTGACTGAAGAAGTAAAGACTTGATAACTTCTATATACATTTTATTTATAAAGATTAGATTATATGAATGTGTAAATCTTTACATTTTTTTAGACAAGAGGTCTGTTTTTTCTGACTGAACTAATATAAACTTTTGGACTTAAAATGAGGTAGGTATATACTTAATATTTAGTGAAAGCGAAAAAAAAAGATTCTAATGCAATCTAGTGTAGGAAAAAAAAAACAAACTTGCAGATATTTTTTTATACAGACTGCGTTCGGTTATTCACTATAATACCGATAGTATACGAACTAGATTTTCAATATTTGTAGCGAATAACAGAACGCACTCCTAGATTATAGGTCTATTTTCTGTGATTGAACTAGTGTATATTTTTGGAACTTAAAGTGAGATATGTTTAATATTTTTCAAAGATGAGAAAGATAGTTCTAGTGCGGAAAACAGACCATATGTTTAATTTCTATTGATGGTTTGAATCGGGTCAAAGTCAAGTCAGAGCAAAGAGAAATCTGAGAGTGGACAAGCAATCAAAGTTGATTATTTGTCCTTGATTATTCGTCTAATCCACTTAATAGTATGGAAGAGAACCATAAAATCTATATTACGTCTATATTACCCTAAGAGGTTTAGTAGGTAAAAAAGAGGGATGTCTGATCTTAGATTTCTTTCTGGTCAGAATCGGATTAGAGTTAAGTTGGCTTGCCTGTTTCCACAAATCAGAGTTACACTAAAGTTGCAGCAGAGTTACACCATCATATAAGAATATAAGGTATTCCATTCTCAAGGATGTACAATCTTGAATATGGCAGCTGCTCTTTGACCAATCAAAACGTTGTGAAATTGTAAAAAAGAAATCTGATAACTACCTTAAAATTTTATTGGGTAGGATTCTTAATGTTTCCAACGTAAGAGCACTCAACTGAACCCGACTTCAACTTGACTTTGACCCTCGAAACAGTTATATTTCTCTTATAGAAATAATTTGTAAAAATTTATCGGTTTATTTAGATTTATACTCTTTTAATTAGTTGTAGATTTTCCAATTAATTCTTGTTCCTTGCGCAATTCTTGTTCACGTTGTTGTTCCCTATTCATTGATTCTTTTTTCTTAATCTGTTGAAGACGCAACACGCGTTTCTGCAATAAATCGTTTTATATAGCTGAAAATATATTACCTATATACACACGTCCTAGAAAAATTAATTTTATAATTCACCTTTAGTTTAGACGTTCTTTCATGAATATTAATCATTTCTTTTCTTATCACTGATAATTTTCCTTGATAAATTTTAACGACTGAAAACTGTAAAACATTTTTAAATGTAATGTTTCTGTCATGAGAGATGTCAATACTCCAAACATATTACAAGATTTTTAATCCGAAATTCCAAAAATCGAAATCTCTAAAAATCAAATATTAAAAAAAACAGATTATTCTTGTTTATTCTGTAAATAAAAATAAAATTTTTTGTTCGAAATCCAATTTGTATTTTCATCTTTAACTTCACCATGCTATGTATTCCAAATTCAAAAATATTCAAAATTTGAAACATTTTCAGTTACAATCATTTCGGATTGAGGATATTCAACTTATATCATGAGAGAAGGAAAAAGTCTTACCATATCATTTAAATCTATATCTTCAAATGTCTCATGTATCCTTTTATTCTCAAGCTGCATTCGTGTAAGTAGAGACTCTTGTTTATTACTGTAAGAAAAATATAACATAAACAATCAACGTGAAATCTTTATTGTTTGCATTACTGATTTATATGCTTACGTCAGCTCGAAAAGTTCTTGCTTAACTTGTTCCAGTGGAGATTGATAAATACCCAAAAGACCTTCCGCCAGTTTTTCTGCAGCTTCTGAGAAATCTACTGTATCTTCGCTATTAAAAAATAAATAATACTTTTATGTTGTGCATTATATTATGTATTATATAATTATAATGTATATACAATATATATATATTAAACTTTGTTAATATTTAAATATATCTAAAGGCATCTTGACTATATAAATTTGTGTGTCCATTTTTTTACAATCTGAGTGGTTATCTTAAACACTTCTTATTTGAAAATTATTGTAGCTTCAACTTTTAGTATTAGAACAACAATTTTAGTATTAGAATTTTCATCTCAAAATGATTTCAGAAATCTGTCAGTAAATAATGTGATAGATCTAAGATATCCTGTATAATTTATATTAAAATATTTAGAATATACAGGAATATAATAAAATTCTGAAGAATAAATTTCAAGGACAAGTTTTTCATAAGATTGTATCTTAAAAAAATTATACATTTACAAATATATTGATGTAAATTTTCTTCCATATTTTAATATAAAGAATTCGCTGAGTCTTGCAACATTTTAATTATATATCTGAATAAATGGCTTAATTAAAACAATTTTTTTATTGGGTAGATATTGTTAGCTTTCAACCTGATTATATAAATATATAATAATTTCTTCCATTTTTGGGTTACTTTTAAAAACTATTTGCAGAACTCTGTTCTTGAATTTAAAATAATATATAATATGATAACCTAATTGCAGTAATATAAATTATCTTGATCTAAAGAAATACATAAAAAGATTACCTCAATTGTTTTTCAGTTTTCAATTGAATCTCCATTGCTCTGGATTTTTCTACGTCAGTCATTATTTTTATCGTCGCTTTCTCTTCACTTTATTCGCGGTTATATATGTCAAGCATAATAGTGTGCATCAAAGTTGCTAAAAGAAGAAATTAAAAGAAAGCTTTGACAGATTGTCAACACTTGTTTACCGATTAACATTTTTTTTGCCGACATAGCCTATTTTTTAGTTAGGACACTCAACATTACATCCTGTTTCACATCCCTTTTATACCGAGCATTTGACTTACGTAAACTAATTACTTTTTATTAAATTACCTTAATTTCAGCAATATATTTAAAATATAATACACTAAATTGGATAATTATACAGTTTAACTACAACATCCTAAAAATCAATAAATTTGACGCGTTTTCGTATGAAACGAAAGAATCTGGCAAAAATAAGCGTCGTTGTGTCCCGAAAACCGAAATATTAAGCGTGAAAGTTTACGACAATTGAGGTTAGAAAATCTGTCAGCTGCGAAATACCACGACACGACGACGACGTATGTCACGAGTACAGTGATCATTTTCATGCTTTGACTACATGCGCATGCGTTTTTGATATTTCTCACGACAGTAGAATGCATGAAATTTGATTTAAACTTAACAGACTTTACATAACGCATAATGCATAGTACATAAGAAAATCAACCGCTTTAATATGTTTCAACATGCTCTCATTGATTTATTTTTATCAGGAGCACCTACTAAAATAGTGGATATTGTTGTAAATTATATATTTAAATTCACAATGCAATATGCGAAATTCTAAGTACTAATATCAAAATGTGATATTAATTGAAATAAAACCTAATCGATTTGTAATTCTTGTATTCTACATGTTCTAATACGTATACCCAGTAAACGAGAATGGATTGAAATGAATTCAGATTTTCAGAAATATTGATTCACGAATTTTGAAAAATGAATGCTTTTCAATTCTGAATGAATTTTTATTCATTTATAGGAATTGCATGAAGCATATCTCTATGCCTTTCAATCTAAAATAAAATTAGCTTTTTCTGTGCAACATACACAATTGTGAATATTGTTCAATACAAAATTTTGAATAGGAAATGTATTATAGTTTTTCGATCCAATTGCATTCAATTGAATCTAATTGAATCCAATTGAATCCAAATTAAATCCAGAAAAAAGTATTCGCTATTTAAAATACGCATTCGAATAGAAAAAAATTTCAATCCATTCTCGTTTGCTGGACAGTTGAACGGTTGGTGTATACCTTGGAGTTTGTTTTGAAGTCGCGCCCCAGCAAACGAGAATCGATTAAAATGGATTGAAATTTTTTCTATCCGAATGTATATTTTATATATAAATAGCGAATACTTTTTTTAAATTTAATTGGATTCAATTAGATTCAATTAGATACAATTGGAAAAACTGCATTTTCTATTCAAAATTTTGAATTGAACAGTATTCACAATGCACAGAAAAAGCTAATATTATTTTTAGATTGAAAGACGATTGCTGGGCAGTAAAGCGGCACTGAGCGCGTCATGTTTACGCAGTTTTTTTACGCGCAGTCGACGCAGTCATTCTCCGCGTGATCATCAGTGATCATACACTTACCGACGCTTGTGTTATGTAGGTAGGTAGCTGTGCCATTCCTCTTCTTCATAATTAATCCTTTTTAGAACATATTTCCGACAAATAATGTACTATACCAGAGATAATACAAGACGTCGTACTTTAGATTTCAAAAACTTATTTAAAGTATTAAATAAGGAACAGTTTTTTTTTTAATATTAAATACTTAAATAAGTGCTTTATTATCTTTATTTATAAAATACTCATTTTTAGTAAAACTGTTTTGTTATAGTACGATAATCCTGCTTGGCTTTTAATAATCCTCTTGAATTATTTCGTTTTTGAAATTGTTTTAAATATGACTGATTCTCTTTGATTGATACAACTATTTAAAAAATATGAAATAAATTCCGAGAACTTATTTAAAATGTTACTTAAGAAATAGATCAGTAGAAATTATTTAAAATAATAAATACTAAATAATATTTTTTTTTATCTTTTTTATTCAAAGTATATATTTTAAATAATTTTATTTAAATACGACTGAACACTGTATATTATATATATATAACTTATATTTATAAGTAAAAAAAAAGTATAATTTATAAATTAGTATTTTTTATCGCGGAATGAAACAATTTCTTATATGAACTTTTTTAGAACTTAGCTTTCTAGCGTTCTATGAATAGCATTTATATACATTTAGCGATAATTTAAATATAATTATATATATTATCTTTTCTGGATTAAAAATGCTGAATAAGACACGAGAATGGCAGAATTAAACGATTCGAAAGTAACAAAAAATTGCAAGGCATCAATCTTTTATTAAAAACGTTGTGTACATTGCGCAGATTTCGTGTAATAAAAAATTATTACAAATTAATAATAGCCTATCGTAACACAATTGAAATATCTAAGATATTCATGAGCTGAGTAACGAATATAAGAAGTATAACAAAAAATCGTGTAATAAAACTTATTCATCGAAGAATATTAAAAATGTAAAAGACATATTATTTTTTACTTATTTTGTGATACGCGTTAATATTTCGACAGTTAGATGATCGGCGCGCGACCTTCGGGGTTTGTTTTGATGTGGAAGGGGGTGAGTGTCGGGTGTGCGTCACGTTAAATGCGAAGTTACAATCATTCCATTACCAAGGCTCGTACAAACAGGTAGTTGTGTCGCGTGCCATTCTTCACATTTTTTTTTTAAACGTAATCGCGAAAAACGCTAGATATAATACAAAACTCACAGTATATTTACCAGTTTGTACGATTAATTATTCATAAAAAGATCGAGATGACAATTATGTATTATGGAACAGATATTTCGTACGGTTCATTCGTTTGAAATCAAAATACGATGGAAAACAGAATTTATTACTATTTCGCGATATTTAGGAACAACAATTATTTTTGTTTAACATAAAATTTTCTCTCGCTTGAGTATAATTCTCGATTTATATCTACGTATTTATATACTACGTACAAACTGTATCACGTAATTCATGCTATTCCTATATACTTTCATTTAATATAATAATATATTATATTAATATAATAATATATTACTGTAATTAATAATTTAATTAATTTTTCGTTTTTCTGTATCTTTCAGTTCGTAAATTTTAATGCTACGCTATGCAAAACTTCTGCATATGTGGTTGCATCCAACATATATATATATATATATATACATAGTAATATAGAAAGCTGTGTTACATTTTTAAGATGATATCTTCCCTCTCATGAATACGACTTTGTGGTGAGGGTTTCAGTATCAAAAGATATACATAAAAAGACGGTTTTCCGTAAGTAACTAAAAATTTGCAAATCTGTCTGAATGATATATGTAGATAAATTTTTAGATACTTGAATAAAATCTTTTCTTCGTGTAAAAATCCAACGACGGGGAAGTTAACGTATCCTCGTCGCCGATTTAATTGTAAGTGAACGAATCGTATAGCCGGTTCGTCGCGTCGCGCGTTTGCTTTGGCAGTACCGTTAAAGTTATCGGACTAATTGACTTTTTACAAAACCTATTTGATAAAGTTTTAGTTTCGCGAAAGACGCGAAAGACTAAACCATTAGTTAGCGCGTGATTATAATATATTATTCGCGAGTGTTTTATGCGAGTGTCCTGTGCGAGAGGATGGATGTCAACCCGATTCTGAGAGGAGGAGGAGATCTGAAAGAGGCATCGGACACTGGCGGAGTAACCTTGTGGTAAATATTTTTTGCTTATGTAAAATTAATATTTTTCTTCTATTTATTCTTAAGTCGTTTCATTTTACAATGATTTAAAAATGATAAGTAGAAAAAAGATTATTTTTAAATTATTTTGAAATTTCATGTGTACGAATTTTTAAGATCTATTTTAAAAAATGTATAATATTATTTTATAAATATTTAATTCAATGAAATTTAAAAATTAATATACAACTATAAAATATACAATATACATATTACTATGTAATATACAACTATAAAATAATGATAATAATTAAACATAAGGTAATAATTAAATTTAAAAAATGGTAAGAAGGTCATCTACTGCACAATGAAAGTATTGTTTGAAATCAACTTGGTTTTAACAGTAAATCATATAAAATGCAATAAAACACGAGCAAAAATATTTTAAATATTCATTTTATTTTTAAAATAATTCTTTGTACAATTTTCCATGTCAATATATTTCGATTTTCGATGTATTAATGTTAAGGATGTATGAGCGACATTTCAACATAATAATAAAAAATTACAGATTATTCTAAATTACGTTTAAAAATAATACGACAAATTTGACGGTTTACTATCTGGATTATAAATTATTTTAATAAATAATAGTATTTTTTAAATCTGTGTTCTAATAAAAATATATGGAAATATGTATTTTTTATAAAATAAATGACAAAATCTCAATTTTTTAATATAAATACATTATGTACTTAAGATTATGTGAAGTCATATATTGCGATGTATGAACTGTTGTCCAGAAAACAAAATATTTATTTGTTCGATATCTTTGTAATTAATCAGTGAATCGCAATGAAACTTTGCACAAGTTATTTTGAATATTTAAAATACTTATAAAAAAATTTAGATTTTTATTATTATTTTTAAAATTTTAGTTTATAACAATAAAAATAAAATACATAAACTATAAAATGTGTTGTTCAATAAAATCGGAATGTTTTGAACACAATTTATATATATATATATATATATATATATATATATATATAGTTTGTTTAAAGTATAAATATTAACACATTTGTAAAAATGACGCCCATACATCCTTAAATTCACTACTTCTAGGTTTGCTTGGAAATAGATAAAGGAAAAGAGGCCAAATAAAAAAATATTGTAAGGAATGTTAAGTTATAATATGATATAGCAAAATCTTTAAAGCACTTTCCTACAAAATTGATTTTCAATATTTATGCGTCTTTTTCTTAAGAAAAACCAAATTATATTTTCGTAATTTTTTAAATTAAGAGATCGAAATATTGTGTTTCGCATCAAGTCACGTACAGTAAATAACAAGACGTATTATATATTTATGCGCAGAGTTTTTAACTAAAAATACTTCAGATTTCAGTAAGCATTGGATTAGTAATCGATTTTGCAAATAGATTTAAGGGCGATAATATATTTACGAAATTGTAGAATAAAATTGTTTGTAGTTATGTTCTTTTTTTTCATCACTGAATCGATACATTATTAAATCATTTCTTTAAATTACTTTCCTTATGTGATTATCTGCACATTTTGGTCGACATTTTTTTCCTAAATAAACTGATTTGAAGAATTAATTCTCTTTTGTAATTTTTTACTTAACACTTAACAAAATTATAATTTTTTTATATGACCAAATGATCAAATTAGAATGTGCTTATATTTAGAGGATTAAATATATAAGTATGAATATATTATAATATAAATACAATATAAGTACAATATACATATAAGTACAATTGCGGACCTACGCATATGAATTTTGCGATGTTGATAGTTTCAAACTTGACAGTTTATAACTCAAAACTATTGTGACCTCAATTTCTTTTACTATAATTTTAAAACCTATAATTCCATACACTATTGAAATATTACTTAACCGTAAGACATATGTACAAACGTATATTAATCAGAATAAAAGATCTATAAAAGATGTGAGAAAGGCACGCTATTAATAAAATAAAAGATTTTACTGATTGTAACAAATTAAATGTGAGAAAAATTATGTACTTATACATAAATAAAACTGTACTTATTGTACTTGCACATAAATAAAATAATAAACTTTTAGAATAGAGAGAGAGAGAGATATCATAGTTATAATATTAAGAAAATGATAAAAATTTAAATAAAAGAAGATGAATCATTTCATAATTTTTATGTCAACAATACTTCATAATTAATTAGAAATATATATATATATATATATATATATATACATATATATACACACACACATATATATATGTATACACTATATACAGAGTGTCCCAGACTTCCCGTATCACCAGTATTATTAATTTTTATCTTAAATTTATTTCAAGAATCTGTTATTAACGGGTGATATCTTCTGGGACATTTTATATATAGTGTTTATTATTCGAAATATGTTTCCAATTACTTACGACTTTATTTTTGGCTGTTTTAACAGACGGATTAATTGTATTGTTTAAGTCGTATTTTTTTTAAGGCACGCGGTAGGGCAAGAGATATTATTAGTAAAATATCAAAATTGTCAGTACAATTGAAAGTTCCAATACGTATTACGGAGCCTTTCGTGCATGTTAACAGTTAAAATTATTTAACAATATTAAAAAAGACTTTGTATTTACATATGAAGATTTTGCTGATAACCTTCAATTTCATTGTACATTTTCCTGACAGGATCTTTTGGCAAATAGTTGTGCATCGTTGGTGCGATTTTATTGTTGCCGGATATATTGCCGTTGGCTAAATGCGCTACACCATTTTGTAGGATATGTGTTGTTCCTTTTGTGATGCCATTCTGATGAATATGACCATTCTGTTGAATATGCTTCATATTGTTCAATACACCATTAGAAATAGTACCCACTCCTAAGAAGGCAATAAATATTAAAATACATTACTAGCAATAAAAAATACGATGCACTTCTCAATTATTCTTAATCTACCGTTAATCACTAATTCAAGATTACAATCTAAAAATATACTTTAAGAATAAAAAACCAAAAAATTCTAGGAAATATATAGATTTATTCGGTCTTCTGAAAAATTTTTCAATTCGTATAAAAATCTAAGAAATTTTTTTTAAAAAGAGAAAAGAGAAGAGAGTTACAAAAATTATACAAAAATTCTTTGAAATGTTTTAATTTATATAGAAATACTAAAAAATTATATAAACAGTTCTAAGAAAAATTTTCATCGGAGTCGCAATGTTAAATAAATATAATAAAATTGCTTACCTTGAGCAACAATTCCGTTTTTCGTCGCATCGGCTATCTTTCCAATATAATTAGATACGCCGTTGACTGCTAGTTTGGCATTGCCGTTAGGTATGGCACGTCCATTTTGATATTCATTCGAAATATTTATTCCGTTTGGGTGTCTCTTGATAGGCGAATCCGGATCGCATAGACTTTCTTCTTCTTTGCGACGTGCTCGACGCATTAGTTGATATAACGCAGCAGTAAAATCCTGCTGGACACTAGGTACATCTGTATCACCGTCCACCTTTTTAAAAAAATAATAATTTATTATTATTTGTAAAAGAATAAGCAAATTATATTTCAAAATAAAAGAATTATATTTCATAAAGATATAATCGTTTCCATTATTGCTTCTTACTTCTGGCCCTTAGAAAAAGTGGTTGACTTATAATCTTAAGACCATTGTTTTATGTGTTGCTAAAGGCAAAAGACTTAAATCAGTCATTATAAGTCTGCTAAGATCCTATATTCTTAATAGTCACCTTATTTTTAAACTCCAACGAGAAAATAATTAAAACTTAGTCATAGCAATTTTCTTTACTGATCGATATTCTTTACTACCTATTGTTATTCCTACTTTTTTTTTATTTCTGTCTTTATTTTTATAAAAAATATTAAATAAATCTATATGTCTGAATTTCAAATATTAAATTGTAGAACAATCAATAATATACAATATGTAATAATAATAACTCTTAATTGAAGTACGTCACTCCAAGTCATCGTTTATACAATAATAACTAAGTGATTATTTTATTGTCACCATTTCAAATAATTTTTGAAACTTTACTATACGAAATTTTCAATTTTAATAAATTTAATATTTCGTATTGCTATCAAAGGACCCCGCACCAACCTTGTGGAAATTTGCTCTTAGTCGAATTGGTTAAATTTTGGATATATTGTAGGTCTGATCATTCTGAACAAATATCTCCATGGGCCCAACCTCCTTCTATGGCTTGTTTTTCACTATAAATCTTAGAAGATTTAAATTCAAACCATTTTTTTTTTAATTGGATTTTCGTGTATTATTGATATTATATTATTATTGATAAATATTATGTATATAATAAATATATACATGCATATATATGGTGCGTGTATACAGGATATTCAGCGTAACAATCGACACGATTTTTTGGACACTTCTGATAGTTAAAAGAAATGGTTAAAAAGGAAGATTCTACTTCGTGCAAATTACAACATGCGACAAAAAATTAAAAAGAAATTTTAAATAAAAAATCAAGATAATCTTGAATTTTTTAAGTAGTATTATACAATTTTTTCTATAATATTGGGATCTTTAAAACGAATTCAAATCATTATCGAGAATGTCATCTTTATTGATGTTATGCTAATAAACATATAATATAAAAAAAGACCATGCAAAGAGGGAGTCTAAAAATGGCCAATTTTAGCGGTGTATACAGACACCTTCAAAATCAATGCAGTTATCATCTTGAAAATCCATACAGTCATGAAAGAAAATTTAATATACCTAAAAAAGCTTGGAAAACCTTCTAAAAATAATAAAATATATTGTTTGATACAGTTTGATAAAGTTTTAGAGCGATGAGCATTATTATTCCTTTTAAAAAAAATCACTTTTTTTCGGCCTCCTAAACCAGGCTCCCTTAAAGTGATCCCCTAATTTTGATGTGTAGTATGTATTTGTCGTTTTACATTTTGACTTATTTATATTCGTGTTGTTCATATTACATTACCCGCTTTATAAGTGTGTTTGTTTATTAATAAGTGCAATTGCGTTTATTTGCGCTTATTTGCTTTTTTACATTAATACAACAAAATTTAAAATTTATTTCAATATTATAGCATGTTTTATCATAACTCAATTATTTATTACGTACAATTATTAACCGATTATCGCTGTCCAGCGTTTTCAACATGGGAAGAGACACTTCGCGAAAAAGTTCCAATCTTTTTCTAAATGCTGAAACACTGTCGTCCAGTCTTCCTCTCCCGAGTTGCAATTTGGAGCAGTCAAGTAATACTAGTGGTGGTTCCTGTCCAAACTATTAATAAATAATATAATGCAAATGATTAATAATTTATTAATACTGAGCGATGTATCGAATAGAAAGTTATAAAATCAAATTGATGATAAATGTAATTCGTGATTTTGAAATATTCGCCTAAGAAAAAATCGGTTCACCAATTTTTTGCACAATTTCGTAAAACTTCTTTCAATAACAATAACTCATTAAAAAATCATTATATTGAAGTAAATCAAAGCTCAAATTAAAGCTACATTCTTCTGGACAATCAAATATCAAAATTGAGTTAAAGGCAATATTACAAAGCGGAATTTTTGTAAAACTATAACTTGGAAACAAATGATCGCAAAAAACCTTTAAAAGAGAAATTAAATTAGAAATTTTAATATTAAACCTACTGCACCCCGTTAAATGACCGTTTTTCAACTTTTTGTTAAAAATTCTGTATTTAATGTCATTGCTTTCATCATTCAATTTCACGACTTTTCCTATAATATACATATAATCAGTTTTTCAATATTTATCTCTTTTCTTGTTTCGTTTCTTGTGAGAAACATATTTATGTAGTCCACCTTATTGCAATCAGTCACTTAACCGATTAAAAATTTATGTTTTTTATCTGTTCCGAAGTGTGACAAGAGTATATGAAAGCATTTTTTCATTTTTCAAAATCTATTTTCAATATCTGCATTTACAAACAACATTTGTAAGCAACATTGTGTAACATTTTTTTGTAACTAAATTTTGATTTGTTGATTATCAAAAAGAATGTTTAAGATTTAATTGAACTTTTTTATTCATCTCAAAACAATAAAGTTTGCTAAATTTCGAAGACATAAAAAATAAATGAGTGTATATGCAATGAAACTAATTTTATTTACCTTCGTCTGAAATTCCTGCACTTGATTCAAGTCTCTCGGATATCCATCCATGACGATACCGTCCGAATCTCGATTCAAAAGAATCTGCTGTTCTATAAGCTGCATTACGATATCGTGAGGGACCATTTCACCCAAAACAATTGCATCATTTACAATCATATTGGACGAGGCCATCGTTCTAAATAATTCTCCAATACTTATATGCAGCCAGCCTGACATATTACGAACAGCTTGAGTGCAAAGAGCTGCCTTATTACTTCCTGGTCCACCTAATATATATGATTATATTATGCATTATTTCTTAATAAGAAATTAATTAATTAATAAAGAGCTGCGGATTAAAGATTCAGCGACTAATAAAAGCGCGTAGCGAAGAAAAGATTGTCAATATTGATTGTGGTTATTACCGCGCAACGAAGAATTGGAAAGAATGCGCGTTTAGCAATTGCCAATTTTACGCAACGCTGCGCTAAATCTTTTGCCGCTGATCGCGCGGATTCATGGATGTTTATTAATTAATTAATCGTTAATTATTGAGACTTTTTTTGTAAATAATATAGCATTTTTTTATTAAATTTCTATCTATATTTTTATTCAAATCCATTCTATCTACTCACGATCAGTGCATTTTCTTTCAGATTATATATAGTATGCATACCATGTGCACGCATGCATGTATATATTGAAATAAAATGTACCTATGACCCAAATAAATGATGGCAATCCTTTTCTCGGTTTATCAGCTGTTTTTGGTGCGTCTATTGATATAAAAGGTGGTAGCCTATTATTAGTTCCTACAACTTGTTTGACTAATGCTGAATCCGTGGTCGATTCCTTTCTCCTTTCCACTTCAACCTGAAATACGATATAATGCAATCCAACAATATTTCATAAAAAATAATTTATTAAATTTGAATTTACTTACTTCGGCTTCTAAAGATTGAGGTACATTTTGATCGTGAATTTCACCGCTTGATATTCCAAGAATTCTGAGAATTGCATCTCGAAAACTAACATAGACCTCACTTGGGTTGCGTTCCCCATTTATCTATACAATAAATTTTCATTTAGATTTATAGTAAATATAATTTCCACACAAAAATATAGTAAGTATTAGTTTACTATTATTATAATTTCTGAAGCTTTTTATTTTCTTATTAACTTGTAATTAAGCTTGATCTGATGTTTTATCCAATGGCTTCTATGATGATGTAAATAGGTAAAATCCATTGGGGAAAATATCAAGTTTAATCACAACAAATTAACACAAAAACAAGTTAACCAGATAATAAAAATTGTGCCTAAGTTATCTAGCTATATTATTTTTCAACTTCCTGGTGTATAAAGGATATCATTTTGTATAATAATTTTCTCGCGTTCAATATTAATATGTGCATTTGCTATCTTCCTTTTATCTCTTTTTAAAATAGTAATGTGAAAACAATTGTATAATTCTCTCTCAAGCCTGGCAAAGCGTGGCTCGTGAGCCATCTCTACCCGATTTTTCCCCAAAAAATCACACCCAAAAAAAGAAACTAATAACTCAAAATTAAAAAGTAATATTAACAAAATTTATACTTGGAGCACACTAATAGCGAATTTGTTTACCTCAAGTAACATGCCACTTTGATCAAAATATTCTGCAACTGGCATTACGTTTCTGTAAAAATTATGCAACTCCATTCTAGCTAATCCAATGATAACATGGCCGAGTTGCGCACCGAAATCAATTTGTCTCTCCAACACTTCTTGCCTCCACGATACAAGAATGACACCATTAACGATTTTTATCTACAAACAAGATTAAATGAATTTTTTAATATTGTTTTACTGTGTAAATCGCTTATTCGAATACTATATATAATTAACTAGGGACTTATTGTTACACATAATGCTGCTCATTTTTACTTCTTTGTATCCCTATTTGTATCAATTTGCATTTATAAAACGTAATTTTAGACAAAATATTTTTAATTTTAATTTCAATTGTTATACGATACTGTCCGTGTATTGTTTCTACAGTAAAGCCACTTCATTTTGTACATAATTTAACTACAGAATTTGTATATTAAGTAAATATTGCCGTCAGATGACAGCTGTACATAAATGATATTTTAAATTTTTTTTTGTTTTTAGCATAAAATCATTTGCATTAACTATTTTTATATGTACTTCAATTGTGTATAAGAATTTTGCAATTTTGTAAAGCCAATTCAAAGATATTCTAAAGGATTCCCTTAAGAATTAAGTATAGGACACTCACTTTTTCAGCATATTCTACTACATCACGCATATTTCGTGGATATCCGCTTACAAGAAAAACCTTGGCTCCTGGGGACATTTTCATCTCAAGCATGAGTACTTCTGTGACAGTTTTGCTACTAAGTTGTCCAAAATCTTGCATATCTGTATAAAAATAGTTGAAATATACGACATGTTGCACAAATATAAAATTTCTTATTTACTAATGTTATTATATTTAACACTAGAATAACCAATTGAGATAATTTTTACATCTCCGCGAGAAAATAAAGCTTAGTCACAGTAATTTTCTTCACTGATTGAAAACCCATTTCTACTTTCCTAATTTCTTAAATTCTTTTTTAAATATTGAATAAATTTGTATATAATAATCTCAAATATTAGTCACTTCTGTCACGGTGCGCCAATAGGTTCTTTTATCTTCGATATTTTGTTGCAATTCAAGAGTATTGAATTTTATTCAATTTCCACTTTAACAAATATTAAACAAGGATGACATGACATCCGAAGAACACCCAGGACGCCTCTGTATATATGTATACGCACTAATCATAGTGATTTACGAATTCTCCTAGCTATTCTACTGTTAATAATAGTTAATAATTACTTTTAATTGTAGCGTAAGAATCATTCTAGATCTAAATGATCGTTTATGCAACAAAAAACTATTCACGGGTTAAATAGAAAAAGTTGACATATAATTTATATATGTTCTCAGAAATCACATATATTTATATCATTTAAATTGCACTTGTTGTTAGTTATTGTTCGCCCGATTTTTGTTGTCTTTTGCATTTTAACAATAAATCGTTAGTCATATGAAGCGTTAAACATTTTGTCTTAATCTTAAAATATATTTTGATATATTTGACAAAATGTATCATTACGTCTTACTTATATACGATCGATGGCTTATTGTTAAGATGCAAATGACAAGAGGAAATTAGTGAACATCAATACATATTGTGTCGAGAGGAACTAACTACTAGTTTACAGTTCCTGGTTATATTATTAAACGCATTTTTTAAATAATTTATTGACATCGAAAGATCAGATTTATATCATAACCCAACTACCATTGTTGTAATCGATTGAAATATGTATATGTAAATAAAATAGTAATCTATAAAATAGATGTACGAAATGATATGAATTATGTGGAAAATATGGAAAAAGAGTCTGAGGAAAGTGATTATCACAAAAAATCGGTTCACTAAGAAAATAATTCGTGTTTGAAATTATTATTTATATGTAAATAATATAGACATACATTAATAATATATCAAAGGAAACCAAGGCTGTAGTATCGCCAAAGATGGCTGAAGTATTAAAAAGACATGTAGATATTTTTATTTCATAAAAATAAATAAATATTTGATGAATATTACTGAAACTGTGTTTATATTAATTGAAAATGTCTGTTACTACTCAATATGAATTAATCAAAAAATTCAAGATACATCTAGTAATATGATCAAGAATTGCATATTATGTGTACATATATGTGCACGTTAAAATGCTAATATAAATAAGAAATAAATATGAACCATTTCCTAATGCATATTGTTGAAGAAGATCCATCATATTAATATGCGTTATTCCTTTTTTCTCCTGTATCAAATTGTCGCAATATGTCACCTTACCACTACCTGGACCTCCTATAATCATAAAATAAAACAAGTAATAGATTAGGATAATGGGAACCAGCGTAATGTGTAAATTATTTGTTTTTAATGGCTCAAAAATGATATTAAAATATAAAAGGAAACGTTTTAACTAAAATTTTTTACCAACAAGAAAGTATATATAATACAAATTCAATGTATTCACATAGAATATGTATTATAAAATATATTGAAAATTATTCCTAAAATATGATTTCTAAATTCGTAACAATTGATATATACTAACCAAGTACGAATATAACAGGAATTTTTGGTATTTCGAATTTAATTGGACCAACATTTTGTTTTGGGAATTGTCCATCTGGTGGAGTCGCCAAAAGACCAGCCTCTCCTCGCCATCTTCCTGTAGCTCGAGCATCGTTTTCCTCGAACATCTGCGATCCATTTTGTTGATCTAAAATATATTTGCTTTGTAATATATCATATGCGGTGGATTGAAATATTTGCACTATTTAAGAAATTCAGGTTAAACAAAAAATATTAATAATAAAAGTACCTTATAAAGTTATTGTCAAATTGTATCGTTCAATTTCTCTATTTTAAATTCAATTTTAAAAATATCTGACAATTACAATCAATTACGACAAATGCTGTAACGTGTAAGCGCTTAGTCAAAGTGTTAATTTTAGTAAATGTATACACTTACTAGTCAATGTATATATAATTTACATGAACAGTAGACTACAGTAAGTGTATATATTTACTGAGTTAACACTTTCACTGTGACATAAAAAAAAAAGAATTCACATTTCTCTCTCTCTCTCTCTCTCTCTCTCTCTCTCTCTCTCTCTCTCTCTCTCTCTCTTTCTCGATTAAAGAACTTGCTAAGAAATCTAATCGTATTATTCAACAAAAAGTGGTCTTTTTTTAATACAAAAGCGAATGTAATCATTTTCCGTAATTAGTTTTTTAGGCTCTAACGATACTATTTATCAAATTGTTCTATTAGGTCGCAATTTTGAAAAAATGTAACAATTAAAAAATTTAATTTAACGATTAAGTTGTAAAAATAAGATCTTTTAGTATATTTTGGCACATTATAACTATGTAATGAAACTTCATTGTAATAATAAATATTATAACTATGTAATAAAGCTTCATTGTAATAATAAAAATTAAATATATTGTTAGGACTTTCAATTTTTATAAAAAATTATATCAATTATACTAGTTAACATTTTTTTAATTACTTTGAACAAGATGCTTCTTATAGATTTTTGGATGTCAAAAACGTCAAAAACAATATCAGTTAAATCACTAGAACGTTAAGATTCTGAAATAATTGATGTGTAATGTGCAAAAAATGACTTTTTAAATTAAAAAAAAAGGTTATCTTGAAATTCTGATCAGAAGTCACGATTGTATTGTTTATTTCGTACTAGCACATTACGTGCGCACGCTGTGTATAAATCTATATTACTTTTTATATGTATACTATATATGTATAATTTCTTCAATGTTCACTTTTTTTACGATATTATCTTAACTTAAGAGATTATCAATACAGTATACATGTTCAATTTAAATCTAACACATAATATTTATTATGAATAAAATAATCATTAGTTTCTTAAGTTCTTAAATGTCGCATATTGATAATATTATAAAAATCATATATTTAACTACACAAATTAGAATATTATAAAAGAAAAAAAATTAAGACATTTCGAATTTTTCAACTAAAAATGTTCATTAAATGAAACGAAATTCTCTAATTTAAACCTAACACATAATATTCATTATGAACAATCATTAGTTTCTTAAGTTCTTAAATGTCGCATATTGATAATATTATAAAAATCGTATATTTAACTACACAAACTAGAATATTACAAAAGAAAAAAAATTAAGACACCGCGAATTTTTCAACTAAATATTCATTAAATGAAATGAAATTCTCTAATTTGAACTATTATAATAATTATTATTCGTGGATATACTAACCAGTATCCAAGCAGATGCCCATAGTAAATTGTTCAAAGGCTGACACGATCCTTCTACGGCCATTTACGGCATTCACATGCCTCTGACAGATAAACTCATCCTTACTTCAGCACATACAATGTTCTGAAGAATTACAATGCGTAGCTTCACAAAATTTTCACATCATGCAAGGATGTTTTTTGTTTCACGTATTCTCAATTTTTGTAATCAATTTTTTGTAGCGGATAATCACAAGTTACTTTAAAATGAATATACATACACTTGTTTGATTTTCTAAATTCAGTGCTATTTATCCATGGGACTTTATTTTCTCTCCTATGAAGCGACGTCTTAATGACGGAGGCGTACGTACGTGCCACGTGTTGACTTGTGTCACATCTATTCGACGTATTCTTTTTAATAGATGCTTGAGAATGAAAGTAAGTAAAATCAGTGTCCACATCGACGTTATCTGAGCTGTTGAGAAATTTACCCGACAAGTCCGCAAGTAAATAATTGCACAATTAATATAATTTCGGATGTTATATTTTATGTTTTTAGAATGAATATGAATTATTTGGATTAAAATATTTTTGAATACTCTTAATACAAGATATTATTACATTTTTAAAATATATGATCTCGAAAAGATGTTTGAACATTAATTTTCTGATCATAGCAAAATTCTACTTTCCATATTTGATACTATTTTAATATTTTTGTTAAATATGATCTTTGCTTTAGAAAAATCAAATTTCTATCAAGTTTATTGAAAGCAATTATTAAGTGAATAATTTTTATAATTCATTTTTATGCAAGATTAGCATAAATGTACTTTAGAATAGTCTTGTTAAGAAAGAGAAAAATATCATCTTGTGAACAAATTGACATTCAAATTACAATATCAAATTATAAGATATATTATCACTAAATTCAAAAAAATAAGAATGTAGTAAGTAAATTTCAAAGATCCCCTGCAACTAAATGAAAAAAATAACAACTTGAACAAGAAACAAATTACATGGAACTAATATTTTTTCTTTCTTGAATATCGATAAAATAGAAAACATGTTTGATTGCTATCAATGAGCTCGATAGAAAATGTTTATGTTTTAATAACTTAAGAAATTTGTAAAGTATAGATTTGCTCAATTTTTTATTGGGCCGCTTCCAATTTTATGTAGTGCTGCTTATGTAGTTTTTTATATTAGGTGTTGGAATTAATTCGTAGCGTTTTACAAGTGATGGGAAGTACTTTCATTAATGTATTTTTTAATGCTCATGTGAAATAAATAACATTCTTTCATTAAAAAACGCTACGAATTAATTCCAACACCTAATAGTATTTGAAATACGTCCAGCAAACATCACATTACACGTAAATACATGTTAATTGTAATTTTCTACTCAACAATATAACTGTAATACAATATATACGTGTTATATTACAGTTATATTGTTGAGTGAAAAATTACAACTAACGTGCACGTTACATGTAATTTGTTGGGCGATAAGAAGGATGAAAAAAGATCAAAACTGATGTTCGCTCAATTTATTATTTATACATTACAGATTTTCTCTAAAAAAATTATAATTCATCATAACTTTGAATAATTCATTCAGCACAGTTTCTTTTCTACGTGATTACATTTTAAATACTAAATAAAAAACACTACATGAGTCAAATTAGAGGCAGCCCAATAAAAAGTGTTACTGATCAATGAAATAATACTTTGCATTTTATCATATATACAATAGATCTATTTATTTATTTATTTATTTATTTGTCATAATTAATCTTGCGATTTAGAAAAAGTAAGCAATAAATGCACATAAGTATCAAATAAAATACTTGGTTAATTAAAAAAAAGAAAATATTTTATGTAACATGTAAATACAACAAAAGTTCACATAACAAAGAGAAATTTATAAAAAGAACTAAAGCAAGTTGAAGAATGTTTAAATGTGAAAAGAAACAAAATTAGTATTAATATTTAAAATATAAATTAAATTCTTTGTTCCAATAAGATATGATTCGTGTTAGATAAATTAGATATACGGAAAGAACGTTTTTTTTTAAATTTACCCTGAAAATATGGTAGTTGTGGTACAATACAATATTTTAAAGTTTTTATCATGCATTTCAGTAAAATTGATCAAATTAATATTATACTTTATTGTAGTTTTATTAATGAGAGAGATTTACAATACGTTAAAATTCTTCAAAATATAATATTGTCTCACGACTGTCATATTTTCAAGGTAAATTCTAAGAAAAAATTCTTTCCATGTACTTTAACAAAAATAAAAAAGTGAAAATGAAAGAAATACAAACTACTACAGAAAAATTTAGGATACGTATCAAAATTAATCATTTACAGAAATAGTTAATATAATCATTAATGAATTTAAAAAAGTTATCAGCGACTTCAAAATTGTGATTTAACAGTTAATAATTAATGCTGATTTAAGATGAATGCATAATTATGAATCAAGTCAACAGTATCGAATACGAAAATTAAACAATTTTCAATGATAATGATGGAAAATCGGAGCATCGCGTTTCAAAACTTTGAAGAACCGATCGATCTTTCGTAAATGCGACTCACAATAGATGAGTGATCAATGAGTAAATCCGCACACTCCCGTACGTTTCCTATCAAGTGGAGTAATTTGCCTCGACTTGCATCAATCGCGCAACACTTTGAGCAAATTTGAAAATGAACGACTTTGCACTCCGACTTTGCATTCGTCCAGAAGTGTCAGTGCAAAGTGTTGTATACAAAAACATAAATGACTATGAGTCACGACATGACCGAGCTTTCTTGCAACGCGCACGACAATGGTATAATGATTTGTCAGGAACGAATAGAGGTCGTAGTAAGAACCACATGTCACCATGGATACCGCGCAAGCGCCCGTTCTTTATACGTCTGTGCATGTACTTTACATTGCTTTACATACAGTAGCGATAAGGGACGGTTGCGCGCGGGTGTATATGTGTGGTGTGTCATGTGCGTGTGACATGTGAGGGTGTAACGTGGAGGTTCAATGTCAAGTTCTTATTGGACACGACTGTTCTCGACCAGGAGTTCGTCGATAAGTATATAGTCAAATGAGAATATGACAATGTGATACGCGAATAACATATTCAAGTAACGACATCATTTGCCTTTGCATTTCAACGAAATATAATACATACATACATAAATACAAGGACGTATAATGCAACTTACTTAATATGAATCAAACGGAAATAAAGTGATGAAATGAAAGAAAGTTATTCATCGACTTTTCTATGTTGTATAAACTTTTATCCGTTTTTCTTCGTTCTAATATTTTCTATCTCAAATAATTTAGATCGAATTAATATTAAATATTTAATACAATTATATTAAAGTGCCGTGCTATAAGCAACTGTAAAAATTTGCTTAATTGAATATGAATCAATTGCGCCTTTGCAAGTCACGTAAGAGTTTAAAAAATATAATCACCTCTTCCTAGTAAAATTGTCAATATGCATTTATATTTTCGTGGGATCTTTTAGGGTAGCGACAGCTGTGTGCAGTAATACTCTTTAACGTAGGAATACAAGAATGAGGACGTGTCAGGCTTTTAACGCACGAGGTTGATACGAAATTTATGTTCCTCGTTTCAAATCGATCGAGAATTAAATAAGTAAGAACCATAACAAGAAGATATATTTATAATGAAACGGGTTTACAACTGTATAATGCTTTCATCCTTTCCTTGCATGGCATAAATCTAAATGCAAGTTACAATTATTACTTAAACTTCCTAATTCAAGGTTTTGAACTTTCTACTGTAAAACACCACACGATATTTTTATAAAAATTTGTTTTATTATATATTTTATTATTTGTTTTATTATATTACAAGATTTTTGCAATTTCAAGTGTTTTAACACTTTACTAATTTATCATCAATTATCCTTATATTACTTTATATTTTTAATATACAAATTTTGTGATATTGTATAAATTTTCAACACGTTTTTTTATGTAATATAATTTCGATTTTAATTATTAGGTGTTGGAATTAATTCGTAGCGTTTTACAAGTGATGGGAAGTACTTTCATTAATGTATTTTTTAATGCTCATGTGAAATAAATAACATTCTTTCATTAAAAAACGCTACGAATTAATTCCAACACCTAATACATATAGTTAAAAGGATAAGTTGTAAATTCGTTTTTTTATAAAAACTGAATTATTTTAAAAGAACTCCGTACATTTCTTAAAGGCTTCAAGTTGGTTAAAATTGAAATACATTTCAGATCGTGCTAATGAAAAGTTTACTCGAACAAAAAGTCCGAAAATCAAGAGTATTAAAGATATGAAAAGATTTAAAATAAGTATTATGGAGTTTAAGAAAGCTTATTTTTTTAATACATAGATTAATTTAATACAGAAACGTTTCGAAAAAAAAAAAATATATATATATATACAATGTATATGCACTTTTACAGTATTTAATAACTCCAAATCCTCTTTGGCATGCAAGCATGAAGCGTCTGACACAGAGAAAGAGAGAGAGCGAGATAGAGAGAGAGAGAAAGAGAGAGAGAGAATGGGAGTTCGGAGTCATTAAATATTGTAGAAGTAGCCTACATTTTATATTTATATATATATATATATATATATATATATATATAATGTATATAGTATGTACACACATTTATGATTCCATACATTTTTCAATTAAATTTATTATTCAAAAACAGGTATGTTCTCAAGCAGAACAACTTGTCACGGTAATGTCAAAATGACTCTGAAATATCATTTTGACATCATTTTGATATAATGATTAATCAAACTGTTTTAGATGTAATGTAATGAAAATAAAAATAGCATGAGTAAACTTAATCATAAGGCGAGTTTCAACCGATTAAAATTCGCCTTATTGCGAAGTTTACTATTATTTCCGTTAGATTACATAAAGCAATATCCTGATTGGTTCATCGGTTTAAGTTTACGTCTTACGGTCACTTGTTATGGAATTTTGTGTGCGGTAACCCTTTATAGGACGCAATAAAGAGTCCCCCCGCAATCCATCCGTTTTCTTAACATTTACAATCAAAATATTGATCATGATGTATTAATAAAGAGTTAATTTCAGATTTTGAGAGTTAATTTTAGAGTAACTTGTATGTTTGAAATCAAATTTATAATTGACGCTGTTACTTATAAGAAGGTCCTTGAAATTAATAGAACTTGACCAAAGGCCATTTGATTTTGTAAATGTGCGAGAATTGATAGTATTTTTTTCTTAAAGCTTTCTTAGCATTCTAGCACTCTTTAAAACCGCGGTCCGATTCAAGCTCAGAACGCTCATGAACATCATTTGTCTTATTTGTTTAATATTTGACAAACGACAAGAATAAAATGATTTTTAAGCATTGTGAATGTGAATCGGCAGCTTAAATGTCATAGTTCAATTCTAAAAATGTTGATAACTAATCTTTAAAAATCTCTTTTTCTCATTCTTTGCGACAGTTTTTTATATTTGTCGTGTCCATCTTCAAATTTGGACACCGAACTTTATGTAGTCTCCAATTTTTAGTGCGCATGCGTCGATTTCCAACCAACAATGTGGCTTTCTTCAGCAAGTTGAAATTGTAGGTTAGGTTAGGTTAGCTGGATATCTCCTTTCCATAAAATATAATTAACCCTTTCGCCTTCCAGCAAACGAGACAGGAAATGAATTCAGATTTTCAGAAATATTGATTCACGAATGTTAAAATGAATGCTTTTCAATCTTAAATGCATTTTTATTCATTTATAGGAAATGCATCGAGCATATCTCTATGCCTTTCAATATAAAAAAATAATATTAGCTTTTTCTGTGCATTGTGAATACTGTTCAATTTAAAATTTTGAATAGGAAATGCAGTTTTTCAATTGCATCTGATTGAATCTAATTGAATCCAATTGAATCCAATTAAATCCAAAAAAAGTATTCGCTATTTAAAATACGCATTCGAATAGAAAAAAATATTTGTACATGATAAAGTATTCTCGTAATAAAGTATGCATTGTGTGTGTGTATTATTAAATTACAACTTCACATTTAATTACAATTTTCATGCAATATATTATTTTTTCATACATAATTATTCAATTACAATTTTCATATAGTATTTAATCAATTATTATTTGTAATTTACCTATTACTGTTTAATAATATTATTATTATTAATGTAAATATTATTTTTATATAATGAAGTCATTAACTTTATTATATTATTATATAATTCTGATTTAAAAATATACTCGCTGTAAACAATTTTTATGACACGACTGAATTATGTCTTTTTTTTAGAAAAATCGTTCTATAGCTTTATAAAAACTCAAATTTATAAGCGCCTTTCCAACCCACAACATGGCGGCAAGTCATGTGACCTAGGACTACCACTACATCAAAGGTGCCGACGCTCAGTGTCCACTGTATGTACTTATATTGTGGCTGAGTACTCAATTAATTCAGTAATTCAGGAGCCTAGAATAGAAATTAGAATAGATAATGGATATAAAACAAAAAGTTATACGAAAGTTTAATGAACAATTAGGATCATCTTTAAAAAATCTTGAAGGAATTTATGATTTCGAAGAGCATCTCAAAACAGAAAAGGATGAGATTGAAAAATCAGTCGGTATTTATTTACAAAATAGCATATATAACATATAAACATTACATATCAATTGCTTCCTGTTTACAGCTGTCAATGGCATCGACCACTGCTCCTTCCAAGGTGAAGGCAGTAGTTGAAAATGTAGAATGTGTCAACTTTGAAGTTGAGCAATTACAAGAAATTTGTTTAGATCTCAGTAAGATGATCAAAGAGACGTTTAGCGAAAATGACAAAAATTTAGAGCTGCAAGAAGTTGTTGATAAGATAAGTCAGCTGGACAAATCATTATCCTATTTATACTTCATAAGATATGTAGAAAATATTAGGTAATAAACTGTCAAAAGATGACATATGCAGGAAATGGAAGTATGCCTTACTTATAACACTTACTTTTCATAATTTGGTAATGACGTTGCAAATTTTTTATGATAATATAATGATGTAATATCAGATTTAGAAAAATTAAATGTTACTTTTAACGGATTGGAAAAGTCACTTATTACTGAGGAAGGTAACTTTTTATTTCTAACTACATTATTGTCAAATTTTTATAAGAAGTAACGGTAAAAGTAATGGCAGTAATTCTTTCATTTCCTGGACATATATAAAGTATTTTATTTCTGCTTATTAAATAGTTGTATTATACTTAGTCATGAAATAGAAGCATCCTTATTATCTGGGGATGATCAGTTGATGATAACTTTATATACAACCTTAACAAACATCAGTTGCCAATTGCAAACGTCTGTATGCCATCATTTGGTCAATTATGTTCATGAAACTTTACATTTTTGGTACAATATAATCAAGAAAAAATTGTCAAAGTATGTTTCTTCCTTGCATATCAAATATAATTCATATACTATATACTTCTAAATATGTAATATTTATAGGGAATACAATGATTTATTGAAGATATTAAAATGGCCCTTTTGTGGAACCAATGCTACTTCATCAAGCACGTCTTTACCAGAAACAATGACAAGATTTAAGATACTCATTGAATATCTCTTTCATCTACAGCTACCGTATCCTTGCACTATATAATTTAATTGTTTTAGATTAGAAAAATGAATCGCACAAAACTGTCCTTTCATATTGTCCTTAATATATTCAGAGACGAACCGATTAAACCAGTAGTAACATCTGTGCTGTTAACAGACTTTGCACCAATTAG